AACAAAGTTGGTCTTGGGAGTACAACCATTGGCCCTTGGGGCCTTGCATGAGCGGTGGACCTATGCATCAACCCTACCAAAATCTATGCAAACCGATATTTGAGGTCATAAAGCGTATTTCGAGGGTCTTGTAGGGCCTGTAGTCTCGGAGCCATAGGCTCGGGCCAAACAACTAGTGTCAATACATTCTGCGCACGCTTAGTCATTGCAAAGGAGGCAGTTTTCGAAGCCCGGTTTTTCTTCATACATTCGATTGGTATGACTAAGCTTACCTGGTTGGCCCGACTACCAGAGCGGCATGACATCTACAAATGGATCACGTTGAACTGCGGCAATCTCATGGCACCATTGAATTCAACTTAATCAACCATAAGAGATCCATTCAACCTAGATCATAATTGGTGAAAAAACCAAATTTTCCCACAATTATATTAATAGGGCTCACAGATGAGATTAGAAATTCAGTTTACCCTGGATAGTTGGTCACCTTTTGGGAAATGAAATGGAAACATGAGGACTACTCCTATTATTACCGGAAAATCCTATTAACAGTCCTCCAACACTTTCTATGACCAGGAATGACTGAAACTATTGTTCAGGATTTACTGATAGTTCTCGAACCTACTTTGTATGTAAGTAGAGATTCGAGACTACCAGTAAATCTGTAATATGAGATGAATTCACCCTATTTCGTTTAATGTGATGCAGTACTAGTAGAAGAATTTCTCTACAATGACATGAGTATAGCTGATGTTGCTATTTAATTTCACATAGCCTTTCTTTCCCAAAAGTTGTTATCATCCAGGCACCAGTGGACTGCAGTTTCGACTTCGCATCGGTCTTATCAACACCCCCAGCGGGAGTCGAACCGTGACAGTGCAGAATGGGAGCTTGACACGTTAACAACTCGGCCACATTTCCACGAGTGCCCTTGGGTCACAGGGCAGATGTGAATTTTAAGGAAGGCCAGGCCTTTCCCCATATCACATTCTTCGGTGGGATTGTCGATGAAGCAAACATATTTTTTCTATTACAATCGACTACGTTACTTATTCTTCGTATGTAAGTAGAGTCTCGAGACTACCAGTAAATCAGTAATATGATATATAAGGAATACTCTTATTATTCCGGAAAAATTCAATTATCAGTCCTCCAACACTTTCTGTGACCTGGAATGACTGAAACACTTGTTCAGGATTTACTGATAGTTATTAAGCCTACTTTATATGATGCTGACATCCCTTTCATTTCGTCTCAAATGTGGGTGGAAGAGATTCTCATTTTGGCCTCTATCGGAAGGAGGGTAGCCTTGGACTAGTCACTGTTAGATTGTGCTGAGAAGACTTCGGCTCACCATCCTGCCAGCCCGATCAGGCCGTGCTCAGCTTTCGTCCGTAATGTGACTGATATCATCATAGCCAGACAATCACCAAAAAACGCAAGACCAAGAAAGGTGGTCGGCTAAAATTATACTTAATTTTTTGAACATAACTTTGCTCCTTTATGTTTGTCCTAAAAGCATACGAGTGAAATTCATCCAGTAATGGAAACAGATTTGATCACAACATTTCTTTATGTAAATAATCTAGTGTATGGTCTTGTAATATTGCGGCTTAGTTTCGTTTATGCATTTTTCGTTGTGTATGCAATACTTATAAGTTAGTTGGCAAGTTCGAGCCAAAACCATACGCCAGGCTACTTAGGTCTTGTCCTCCTACCCGGTGATTCGTTTGTTCTCTTTTTTTCTCTATCTCACACTTTCTAATTATATCCAGCAGGCAGAGTTAGTTTCTTCTCAGTTTCATATACTCGTTCTTTGTTTTTTTTATCTTAATTGACTTCCTGATCTGCCGCTTACCTTTTAAGTCTCTATATCTGGCAAACGTTGGGATTTATACCACTCTATCTGGTGTCTTGTAGTGACCACATGTTCAGCCACCACTGATTTCTGAACATATAAACCTTTGTAAGTGGTTCTGTGTACCATTATGACCAAGTTGAGAAGAGAAGGTCAAACTACTTATACATTACTTATTGTTCGTTTATAAGTATGGTCTCGAAACTATCAGTAGATTTTATATGTGAAATGTATTCATCCTATTTTGTTTTTAGTGCTAAGGTGATATAACTTGCACTTACTGATTTTGCCCATCCCAGCTTTTGCTCAAAGAAACTCTCGTAGCAATACAACTCGGTAATCGTTCTCCGGCCGTCTGGCCCGGCTCAAGCCGGGGCCCGTTATTTCGCTTAAACACCGCTCGGATGCAGCCAAGAAGAGAAGAAGCTGACTCGTCTACGGACACTGCTGTTGGTTATGCAATGGACCTTGGCCGTTTGGTTCCGGAGCGTCTCAATTTGGTTCTTACTCGGGAGGCCCGCAAGCGGATGCTACGAGGCAAACTGGTCTGTCGGTACAGAAGGCTGAAGCTAGAGGCTGATACCGGCTTGGCTGAAGAGGAAAACCAGTCCGAAGTGCTTGCTGAGGCAAGAATTCTGTTGGAGCAGGCATTAGGTGAGCAGAAGAAAAGTTGCATTTCGAGGAATCTCTTGCTTCATTATTGTTGAGCTTACTTCCATTTCCAGTGAAAGTTTTGGGTGAAGAGATTCGCAGGTTGGTTCCACCAGAAGACGACGGCGGATTCCTCTTGACCAGCTGTTGATTGGCTCTACTGGAAGATTCATGCTGACGCTGTTTCCGAGGCAATCTCCTTCGATTCCGTTGAGAAGATGCTAAGCTTTCGTCAGTCAATGACGGACATCATCAGAGCAAGGTATCGTCGTCACAACAAAATTGAAGCTAACGAGTCGAGAAAACTCACCGGCAAATCCCTAAAAAGTGGTATATATACTCTACATCTGACCTCTTTGATCAAGTGATTTGGTTAGTTAAGGTCATATGTCAACTATTGCATGTGAGTGTGTATGTCCCTGTATTTGTATGTGCCTGTTTGTGTTCGCTTATGTATGAAACCCGCAGTGATGGCTCAAAGTAATTAGGACAGGAATTTGAGTCATCACTCCTGGTTTCGTTCATAAGCGAACATAAACAGGCACATACAAATACAGAGTCAGACACACTCACATGCATCAAAGTTGACATATGACCTTAAATAACCAAATCACTTGATCAAAGAGGCCAGATGTATAGTATATATACCACTTTTTAGGGATTTACCAGTGAGTCTTCTTGACTCGTTAGCTTGAATTTGGTTGTGACGATGTTACCTCGCTCTGATAATATTCGTCATATGAAGGAAGAAAGCTTAGCACTTTTTCACCGGAATCGAAGGATATTACCTCGGAAACAGCGCCTC